GGAGATGCTTCCCTACCCAGAAAGGGAAGCCAAAGTCCAGCTTGGGAAGGCTGTGCTCAGATTCAGGGCTGTGGCTGGACCACAAGAAACACCCACTTCCAACCCACAGCCCTGCTGTGCTACCTGAAAGAATAAATGAGAAATACCCTCTCAACAAGTGAGTAACTAAGACCCGCTCCCCTGCCCCCAAATAGCCAATTCCCAACACCGCCCTAGTGACACTGCCCAGAACACTTGCCTTCAATTTCATTCTGATTCTTGGAATTTTATAAACTACCAATTTTGAGAAAAAAGGGTGAATGCCAACAATAAACATCTATTAAGCCCTTAGTGTACACTAAGCCCCAGAACATAAAAGCCAACATACATAAGAAAGAGATCTTTGCTCTGCAAGAGCTTAGAAGTAATGCAGGAGAGAGCCAGGTAAGCAGCCAACCATAATACTGTGGTTAAAGAAGATTAAATTACAGTTTATTTATTTTGTGTCCACATGTGTGAACATGTGCATACTACAGCATACATGTTGAGGCCAACGAACAACACAACTTGCAGGAGCTGGTTCTCTCTTACTTGTGGGTCCTGGGTACCAAGCTCAGCCTCTCGGCTAGGTGGCAGGTGCCTTTATCAGCTGAGGACCTCACCGGCTCCAATCATGCTCTGTTTTAAGGACCATGATAGAAGGAAGCACAGAGAACAATGCATGTAACCTAGACTGAAGAGTTGAGACCGGGCCTTAGAAGGCTGTCCCTAAGGACTCAAGAAGAGTTGGCCAGGTGGTGAATGGCAGAAATCACAGCCTGCAAAGACTCAGCAGTGAAAACACAGCACGTTCAAGAACTGAAAAAAACTCAGTAGGGCTAGGGCAGAGAGGTTGGTGATGCTGGAGAGAAGAGAGCCCCATCTTTGGTCATAGTGAGATATCTTTCGACTCCAGAAATCACTGTGAAGGGGGAGCATCCCATTGGAAGGATGGGTACTTAAACTGGAGGAAGAGCCAGAGGGCACAGTGTGACTGAAGGTGGCCCTGCAGTGTGGAGGAGAGGCAGTGGGGACATGGAGAAGGAGATGGATTCTGAGATGTCAGGGGGTCTACAGCTCACAGAGATGGGGGCGGGGCTCGGGGGGAAGCAACTGTTTGCTTCTAGTTCTGTTTCCAACTCCATAAACCTTGGCACTGGTTACAACAAAATTTCTGAAAATCGGGGTGGATTCCGGTAGACTGCTTTCTTCAGCCTTCTGATACTTGCTGCCCTAAGGTATTGTCTTGGGGGAAGTGATTCTGACCTCCTGCCGGGTTTGAATGTTTGGTCCTTCTGTGCTCGGATGCGAGGGCGGAAGATGATCTGCTTTACCCAAACACTCTGGACAATGACACTCTTCCTCCAGCAGCAAGACTACACACAAACAAGGTGGCTCTAGAAACCCCACGCACTTGATGAAGAGATAAGAAGCTCACAGTGTGAGCCCTCTCCTCCCAAGGTACTGCTCTCCCCATCCAACCAGGGGGACTGGTAAAGGGCTTTGCTTTTCAAAGTAGACAGATTTATTTCTCAAATCCAGGTCTTGCCATTACTTGGGACACAATACCTACCTCACGGGATAGTCTCGGATACCCAGAGAGAAACTACTAAGTGGCAACCATCATCACTGGCTGGTGTATTCAATGCCTAGCTATATAAAGCTATATAAATATTACGTATTTTCTCTGTTCCTAACATGGAAGGACAGGAAAAAACTAGAAAAAGAAGAATGGTGGGCGCAGAGGTGAATGTCTATAATTCCAACACTCAGAAGTTTGATGCAGGAGGATCCATTTTCTGCTATGTATGTAATAAAACAATGAGAGAGAGAGAGAGAGAGAGAGAGCACACGTGTAAGCCAGATACAGAGTCATTACCGAGCTGAGTGGATGGGAGTTTTCCATACGGCAGATAGGATCTACTTGCAAAGGCCTACAATTTCTAAGGCTGTTTAGACGGGTGAGTCAGCACTCTGGCAGAAGGCTGTTTTTGATGTCTCATCACCAAACTTCACCTGCTGTGGAGAGGCCAGCCACCCCTAGGGCACACAGCCCCATCCTGCTGGGATGCTGCCCAGCACAAGACCATGGAGACCCGCAGAGATCAGAAACCGGAAGTCAGTCAGCAGCCTGGCTTCTGCCCCCACGGCAGTGGGTGGCTGAGTCAGCAAGCAGTGCCAAGGCATTGGGCTCAGAGCACATCGTGACAGGGGACTCGACTGGCAATGTTCAGAAATCCTATAGGGTTTCCACTCCTGAAACTATGCAAGGAAGCCCCTTGAAGATAGGAATCACACCAACACACACTGAGACTTTCAGGAGCCCCCGCCGAATCTCCATACCAGCACGGAGCAGATAACATAAAACCAAGAGAATTTTAGGATCTCAGATGCAGATGAAAACAAGAGCTGTCTGTCTGGTCTGATATCTCTCGCCAAGCGTAGTCCTGCGACCACCAGTTTCAGAATCACCTGG